AGTATTAAAAAATATTTTTTTGCCTGAAATAGCGAAGGGAGAGAGAGAGCGATTTTTCGTTCTTTATTTTGGCAAACCTAAGCAAAACTGAAGCATGATTTTTATAGGAGATGGGGACGATGGCATACTCGTGAATAATTTCAATTGTAGGGAGTTTTGAGGACAATACTAGATAGAGTGGCCGTTGGGTAGAGGATTCCAATGGATTGAAAAGACCACAAAAAGCTATGGGCTGTTAAATGTGAGGTGACCAACGCGCTTTTCTTTTTGTGGCGTTCACGCTCAATTAATACTAAAGCACAGTGAAGTTATTTGTTCACACGCTGGACGTATGAGGGTGGGCGAGTAAAATATGCAAGCGCCGAATGTGGCGTTAGATTATGGGTCGTTTTTAATTAACTGACACGTATAATGATATATATTTTTGGTCTCAATTAACTGAAGAAATTTCGAAAATACCTTCTCTGGGTTCAGAGTCCAAGAACTGTAAATTTCGATTTGACAAAAATACCCTTTATTTAAATTACATTTCAATTTCTCTTGGCGGGTATCTAGATTTCAATTTCCCTTTATTTAATTTTTTTTTTTTCAAAAAATGTATAATTTAAAAATAGGAAAAAATTTATAAATTCATGTATCATTTTATTGGATGAATGTGTAGTTAAAGACGAGTTCAAAAAAAAATTAATTTTAAATAAGTTGTGTCGAACAAATACTAAAGTAACTAGTAACATTGTTTTCGATCATCGGAAATGATTTCATATTCATGGTGGGTACGAGTTATCTTGTCACCGTTGATTCAACCTACAATTTTTGACAACTCAGCGTTGAATTATCAAAAATTGTAGACTTGACCTTGTTTTAACTTTTATCATACCGACCATGGATGGGAGATCATTTCTATTTTGACCGTAAGGAAATTGATTTGATTTGATTATGAATCTCTTCGTTGAGATGTGAAATTAATCAAATTTATTTCTACATTTGCTCAACGTGGATGGAGCGATCCTCTTCCAATAGAACGACCTCCGCGCTCTTTGTAGTGATCAATTTTTTTTAGTTATACTACAATATTTGTCTACTAATTTTTAGTAAAACAAAAATTTTTTTTAATCAATTTTTTAATTGCACATTTCATTAAAGGGTTGCATAAAGCATTAAATATTCATTTCATGAATATTAATTCACTACATAAATATTACATATTCATCTCATAAATAAACAGTAATATCAATTTAGGTGATATTTAATTTCCATATTTATTGTTTTCCTTGAATAAAAATTTATTGAAGATCTCACTATCATCCTGTCTACTGCTAGATACAATACGTGATTAAAATTATTTGTTGACTTTAATTTGAAATTTTAATTTACAAACAAGAACTTAAATAATAATGTTATCTAACACGGGTATTTTTTTTAGCACCATTCTACGTGGTAGTAGGGTCGTGCTCTACAACTAGTTATCAACTGTAGTTTTTTTTTATTAATTGTTAACGATGAATCCTATGATCACATAAGCAAGTGTTAAACGCCACTCTTACTTGATAGCGTGACTCGATGTAAAACGTTTACTCAGTGGTAAATACAGAGGAACCCATTACAACTTTTAATGCATGAAAAAAAATTATACGGAAATTGTTTTTTTTTATCCAATCCTGAATTCATCTCTATTTACTTTATTAATATCAAATTGAAATTAACTAATATATTATTTTGATTGTAAAGTAGGAGTTACTTACAAAATTTATTGCATCTTTTGTTTATGTTTAAGCTCAGCCAAACGTGGTCTTATAAAAATATTTTTCAACTTTTAATCTTGACAATGAATGTTTTTGAAACAAGCTAGTATTTCCCCCGTGCGATGCTTTAGAACTTGAAGGCTTTTGTAAG